TTTTTACACTTGAATTAGTTTTTTATAAATTTTTTAGTTTGAAGAAATATGTAAGTGCTATTAAAATCTTTAGGTTGGGACCAGTTAAATGGTTCTGAGGATAAAGGTACTTGCTGCCAAGCCTGACAACCTGAGTTTGATCCTTGGAACCCACATGGTGACGAGAGAACAAACTCTCTCAAGTTGTCCACTGACCTCCACATATGTGGCATGGTACAACCATGCTCACCACACATGCACAAATCAAATAAATAAAAATAAAATATATTTTGTCTTGGGAGAATGTGAGGCCTTGTGTTTTCACAGTAGTAAAGCCAAGTGCATATAAGCAACAAAGTAAAACAAGTTAAAGTAGCCACTGCTACCAGCCTACCTACAGGTAGGCACCCCCTGGATTGTGTGTTTCAGACTTTGGGCTCTCACTTGAGCCCCAGGTTCAGCCTGTAAAGCACCGTGGTTCCTGGTGCTGCCTCAGAGCACTCTGAACCATTTATAGATTTGAGAGCTGATTGACTCATAAATTAGTGCTCAGGTCACCTCTAAAATTTGTCTGGTTTTGTTTTAAACAGTTGAAACCCATTCATACATTTTAAATATGTATTTAACTTATTATTTTTATTTTATGTGTATGAGTATATTGCATGCATGTAAGTGTACCCATGTAGTATAATGCCCACAGAGGTCAGAAGAGGGCTTCAGATCCCCTGGAACTGGAGTTACAGAGGGTGTTAGCCTCCATGTTGGTGTTGGGAACTGAGCTTAGGTCCTCTGCAAGAGCAGTCAGCGCTCTTAACCACTGAGCCACCTCTCCAGGCCCCTATTCATACATTCGTACATTTTTATGGGAGAGAATATTAAAAGTTCCAGAAAAGTAAAAAAAAAAAAAAAACGAGAGGAGGAAAGTAAACACCATAATCCCCGATATCCCAGATTGATTGATGACAGATGGTGCTGTGATCGCCCAACCTCCTGATGTCTCCATGACCTTGACAGTAGCGAGGTGATAGGGGGAGAATTAGAGAATGGTTAGCACCTGGCTCTCCTGATACTGCAGAGTCTCTCTCTCTCTCTCTTTCTCATCACATACACTGCAAAACAACGGTAAGAAAATACTAGGAAGAAAAAATTTAAATGTCAACATTTTCATTTAGCTTTTTCGAAGGCAAACGTCACACTGAACTTACGCAGTTAGAGGGTTAGAGCACAGGCCTGAGCCACACTGTAAAAGGTGGCAAACAGGCCATTCTGTCAGAAAAGAAGTGCGAATTCTGAGGAGAAGGTGACTGACTGCAGCATAAAAGTTTGTTTATTGGCTTCTGTTGTGAAGTACTTGATTTCAGCCCACAGGAATTAGCTCGTGGGAACCTTACAGCCCAGCTTCCCTGGGACCCTGTGAGTGCTCCTGTGGCCCTGCACACCTCTGCCTGACTCTGCAGTGACTTGGCTGTGGTGAGCAAAATGTGCCCTTGGAACCCTTGTGAGGAACAGAGGGGATGCTTGTATCTTGACTGTGGAGGTGACCACAGAGCATGCTCAGGAGAAACTTCACAGACCCAAACATACAGGCACACCACTACACAAGTGCACACACACCTACACAAACACAAACACACATGCTTACGTCACACAAGCACATGCCACACCCCTACATAAACAAACTCATACAAACACACCTACATAAAGACATACCCACACCAATGCAAACACACCACACCCCTCTACCACACCCCTATACACACAGAAACACACCTACACAAACATACCAAGGTAGACACACATGTACATAGACATACAAGTGTACAGCATACATACACATCTATACACACTTGCATGCATCCATGTACACACAAACACAGACACATTCGCATATGCATGCTAACATATACTCACACACAAGCATATATGCACACTCATGTAAAACCTCTGATTAGAGAATGTGAAAGTCACATCTCTGTCAGTTTCTTCATTGTGGTCCTGTACAGTCTGTGCAAGTTACTACTATGGGTACATTTCATCTGTTCAAACTCCTCCCTCTCCCCCTGGCCCTCCCCTCCCCGCTTCCCCTGCCCTTCCCCTC